ATATATATATATACACATACGTATTATACATAGACGTTCCCTCAGCCCCCTGCTTGAGGAAGGCGACGAGGTGGTCTTCAATGAAGTGTCGCGAGCGGACCTGGTCGCAGAGTACAAGGGCCAGACAGCCCCAAAGGCCAATGAAGGGGCGAGGGTTTAGAGGTTAGGGTTTGGGGTNNGGGGGGGGGGGGGGGGGGGGCCAGAATGGTGTCTTGCAGCATGTCGATGTCCATGAGGCTTTTTGGGCTCAGGCTGTCGCGAGGCTTCGGGCTCACAGGGTGTAGGGTTGGAGACCTTGCATTTCTCGAGCTCTTGCAGCAGGTTTCAGCTCCTTTAAGTTACGTTTAAGTTCTATACGGAAGACAAACATCCGATTAAAGAGGTCGCTCGGGTCTGTCTGAGTTCCACTTTACACTCGTCTGCTTCGGAGGTGATTGGTGCTGTCGAGAAGGCCCTTGGCGGCGTCCTCTTTGTCGATGAAGCATACTCTCTGAAGAAGGAGCTGGGCTATGGTATGCCCTTATTTATTTACTATAGTCTTCAAGTAGATAAACCACCCGCACTCACAACCCTCCAGACCCTAAAATCCTAAACAAGATTCACCAGACTGTAAGTCGCAGGATCCTTGTTAAGCTCGAGTCACACCTCAAGCCATCAACGACCACGTTGGCCGGACGTTCAATTTGAGTCAGGGCTCCGTGTAGCGTTCGTGCTGCGAACATGATGGTTTTATGACTTTTAGTGCGGATATAATCAAAACAGCTTTCTTTTCAAGAAGCTGCACGGGCGTCAGTGGCTGCAGTGTCTTTATCTACGGCCTCTTAGACTCTTTAATGGGGGTCTTCGCTTACATCAGTCGATTTTGATCTACAGTCGAATTAGTGGGGTCTTAACTTCAGTCAATCGCTTCTCATGACCTGGAGAGGGATTGTCCATGCATCATACCCTTAGCATCAAAACAGTCCGAAAGCCTTATATAATAGGGTCTTTGGGCCCAAAAGCCTTAAAATATGAGTTCTTTGAGAGTAAGGGTTATAGTAAGTACTTAGTAGGTAGTTGGGCCCCAAAAGTATATACCGTACTATTACTTGGACCC